GATGTTACGAGCGGGACTGGCCCACACGTAGTTCACGCGAGCAAGACACGCCCCGGGGTCAAAATATCATTTTGAAATAGGGCGCCAGGTCATGTGTGATAGTGAGGCATTCGTCTTTCCGGTTCATCTTTGGATTTTTGAAATTTATCCAAAACGCCTCAAGAGTTTTGCGCGTTGATGTTTTTGATTCCTGCGCTAGGATCCGCACATTCACTTCAATATCATCGCCGTTGTGCTTTTGTGCCCTATGCGTACCTAGAGGGGTGTTTAAACGGATTTTAGCTTTCCCATCTAGATGTTCTTCTATGCGGACACAAAGTGGTCTACCCGTTTCCGATATATTCCTAGCCGCATGCATTACATGAGATTAAGTATATTATACCTAAACTCATGCAATCCCCGTCTCTCCCGTTAGGACAGATCATACAGTTTTCTGAGCTGCACAAACGATCATAGAGACGGTTTCGAACTAACTGGCGGCGTAGAGTATTGGTAGGAGGTCAATAATAAACCACATAATTTTCAAGACCACTTTTTAAAGGCGTGACTTACTTCATTTGATATGAAGGGTAGCTTAAAAGGGATTTTACTTACGTCCGACACATTATTTTGGGAAACTACCCAACGTTTTCCTCTAACCGGAGTGGCTTCTACTTCGTAGTCATTGGAAATGGCAATTTTTCGTGCCAGGTTTTGCGATTCCTTCCTTTCCACTTCTCCTGTACACACTTTTTTAGCCGTACGGTACATGTTTTTGATAAGTGCTTTTTTCATGTGTGAAGGGTGAGAGGAGAGGCAGTGAACTAGAATGTTTTTACTTGGTTTGCGATACCATTTTGTTACATAGCCACTTACTGAGAGCTTTTTTGGATGTTTAAGAATGGAAGCCATTCCTGGGTAGGTTTTTCTCGTGTAAATTTTATATACTCTGACTGTCGGTTTAATAAATCAAGGCACTCATCCATCTGTTCTTGTGTGGAACAGACGACGCAGCAGTCGTCTATGTATCGACAGTAGAGTAAGGGTCGGTGATCGAGAACTGGAGCTTCCACCTTAGACATGAAAGCGATGGCAAGGCTTGGTGCTAAACGCTGCCCCATCGCCAACCCTCTAATTTGTGCAAAATATTTTCCGGACCACCTAAAGATTGAACAACTAAGACACTGTTTTAAGAGAGTCATTAGTTGCGCAATCGACAAGCCGTGCATTTTTATTTCTTTTTCATGCTCTACGAGCAACCCGAGAATATTTTGCACAGATTAGAGGGTTGGCGATGGGGCTGTAACGAAATGGTTAGCGGCGAAGTGTAGCGGTTTAGATTGATGTAGAATATTAGCCACGCGGGTCTTTTAGTTGTTGT